GGGGGGAGAAATATTATCTGCTACTCTTGAGTGGGCTTCAGGGGACACAGAGACCTCAGGTATGAGTCTGGTTTCTTTTAGGGGGAAAGACAATGAAGGACACATTCATAGAAGAGGTTGATGATGTAGAGAAATTATTGAGGGTGCTTTGTGTTTGAGGAGTAGGAGAAAGGTGTGAGAAGTGAACTAAAGAGGGGATGTGGTTACAGCCTTATGGAGGTTGTGAGGTGTTTAGGGGTGTTGTGGGGACCTTGGGTTTCTTGAGGTGACTGGTACAAATGGAGATAAACATCATCATTGGATGAGGTCTGATGAATTCAAGGCAGATAGGGGTAACAGGATTTTGAAGTTTGGGTTAGGGAAGGGGTGGTGGGTGACTGTGGTTTCTGTACACCCCAAGCGATGTGGAAGTTCAGTCTTACACCTGGAGCACTGGTTCACGCATTTCTCCATATTGTTCTGGGAACCAGAGATCACAAAAATCTGTAGTGATAGAAAAGTGGGCTTGAAATTACACTTCACATTCAGGATAGAATTACCCCTGGGGAAATGGGAAGGTGGATAGCTGTGGGACAAGGGGCAAGGATGCCTCAAATTCTCTGTAACGTTTTTATACCTTAAAAAAAGACAAAGTAAATATACTCAAATGTTAACAACATTCAAATCTGAGTTGTGGAAACACTGGTTCATTATATATAATGCCTGGGACATTGTAGATACTAATGAATATTATTTGTTGAATGAGTCTGCCTTTCTCTTTTAAAAGTTTCCCCAACATACAAACTTCTCAAGTTAACACAATGTGCTACAAGAGCATAGAAAAGTAAATGGAGAGAGATGAGGAAGGCTTGAGAAATCCTTGTGGAGTGATTGCTGATCTTTGTGGAACTCTACCACCATACATGAGCCAAATGGAAAATATGGGGTGCAAGCTAAAGACATAGCCCTATTTCCATTTTACCGCAGTGGTCTAAGGTTCTGGGTGAGTATCCAGAAAATGACCTTGAAGATTTAGTCCTTTCAACTAATTACCAGGTCCTCACTTTTCTCTCCCAACATAGACACTGGGTGGTGCTGCTGTCCAAATTTTCTGCTCTATCATGGATTTATTACTTCAATTTAAAGACAGGTATTTATCTAGTGTTTCCTGTGGGATAACCAAAGTGCTAGGGATCAGGATATAAAGATGAATAGCCTCAAAAGATTCTCCTCTGATTACCCTAAACTGACTACCACCATGCCTAGTGGCTAAGAAAATTGAAAATGTGATATTTACATAGGAGAACACCAGTATCACAGAAATGTCCAGCTGTGGGGTGAATGATCCAGGCTCTTGTGAGCACCCCTCCTCCATGACCTAGCCAAAGATTAAAACAGACAACAGCATTGCCATTGTTTGGTCGTCGCAGGATATTTAAGCTCCTATGGCTATGAAAAGACAAGGAAGCCTGACTAGGACTCCTTTAGTTTGGTTCTTGTAGTTCCAGACATTCGAAGCGAACTGGGCAGAAGAGTCTGCTCGCCCCTGTTATCATGGAGGAGTGGGTATGCCTGGGAAGATGGAAGAAGGAAAGAGGAAGTAGCTGGAGATGCAGGGGCAGGCCTGCTGGAGATCCTTTCCAGGACAGATCAGAGAGGGATTGGACCAGGTCTAGGGAGGTGGGTCTGGTATGATGTCATCAAAACCCTGTTGCGATGGGTGAGGTCCTGAGCGGAGACAGTAGACTCAGGCCTGCAGGGCTAAAGTGGTGGGAAGAGAGAAAAGGCGGGCCTAGGATCCCTCGACCAATCGTAGAGGGCTGGGGTGTGCTCAGGGGCAGGGCCTTCACCCGTGGTTTATACCTGCAGGGTTCTGTGCGGGATGGCTAATCTTGGCCAGTGTGCTGAGTGCTGCCCCCGCCCCAGCCGTCTACCTTTCTCCGGTCTTCCAGTATTCAGGTGAGGACAGGCAGCTCCAGCCGGAGCCAGAGGACTGACTATAGGGACAGGAGGGCGCGGTGGCCACGGGCAGGGAAATACTCAGGCCTTCTGGAACTAGGGAGGCCAGGGTGGGACCCGTGTTTCAGATCTGTAGAGTTGGCGCCTTTGTCTTCTGTGGCACCGCCTTCTGCTCCCGAAGCCGAGTTCTCCCGGGTGGGTCCCTAGAAGGCCAGAGGGGACGGCCCCCAGAGCTGCCTTTCTGCTTTGGCTTCAGGTAGGACGCTTCGGGGGACAAGGAGTTCAGGTGCCTTCCGGAATGGGCCCTTAGGGGCTGGTCCTTCACTTTCTCTGCTCCTGTGGTTAACAGGTTAGGCTGGGCGCCCAACAACAATGATAGTTTAATTTAAAATGTAAACAAACTGCTAACAACAAACTGGCCTATGCGCCCAGCCCTATTATTATTTGTTTGAAGTCTCACCTCTGGAGATTGGCGTCTGATAGCTGGTCAAGGGAGGGTCTTAGGGTGACACTGACAGAAGGGAAGCATATTTGGGACTTTTGGCTGCTTGGGGCCCCTCCATTCTATTCTGGGCACTGGATATACATTACCCCCACCAGTGTGGGGTCAGGCACGAGAATGAGAGCTCTGGTCTCTGGGGCCTACTATTGTCTCTGGGACAAACCCGAAAGGTGACAGGGCACCTCCTCTCCTAGCCTCATCTCCTTGCCTCTTCCTTTGCAGAGAAAACATGGTGAAATAAAATAAAAATGAAGTCTGGTTTATCCTATTCTGCTAAAGCCTATGGTCTGACCCTAATTAGCTGTGCCTTCTGACAGCATTTACAAACCAGTGCCACAGGGAGCTATTGTGAAACCTGTAATTAGTTATGACTGGATTAAATCCCTTCCTCTCTTACTGGAGCTCCTTAATCTTATCTTTGGGCAAATAAAATGGATAGAAACTAGTCCAACTTATGCTACCCTTTTTATGTGTTCTGCTTCCTAACCTCCAAGAAAAATGCCCTCCCCTCAAAGAAATTAAATGCAAAGTGAAGATGCTCAAGTAGTGCCATCTCCTGTAACAAGTTCATTAACTGGTGAAACCCAGTCTTTCTTTTTTCTTCTGTGTCCATCTGATCTTGTGCTTCTATCACCTCCATTTTACCTCTGCTGTGATTTTAAGAGTCAGACATACTGGCTCTGAGTTTCTAGAGCATCTTGGTTTCTAGTGTATCCTGATCCAGTGGCATTTACTGCCTATCAGAAATGGGATAATGATGGTGTGGAATTCAAAATATTTTAATAAAAGTGTGACTTTTCTCAGATATATGCTGTTTTCTTATTGAAAATCTGTGAGTAAAATACACATTGATATTAGCTGTTATTCCTTAGTGTGACAATAGTTCTACCAGATAAGGTTTGTTTTTCGGTTGTTGTTTTTTTCAGTCTTTTTTTAGGTCAAGATGAGTGATAAGCCAGACTTGTCTGAAGTGGAGAAGTTTGACACGTCAAAACTGAAGAAAACTAATACCAAAGAAAAAAATACTCTTCCCTCAAAGGAAAGTAAGTCATGGGGCTTTCTAGTTGAGACAAAAAATGGTGAAAATTGATACATTCAGTAAATAAACTCTTCTAATAAAATTTACCACAAACTAAGCAATATAATACCAATGTATTTAATATACCATTTAAATTATAAGATTGTTTTTTAACTTGGCATATGTAAGTGGTTCTTACAAAATAGGTTGTACTAATAATGGGGGAATAAAAAACCTAGTTTTTGTTGGAAAATTACTAAAAACCACATTTAAACCAATCCTGGAATATTGGATTTAACATTGGAAACATCTTAACTTTGTCCAATTTTTAATTATTTGGCATTTTTCTGCATCTAGTAATTTGGGTCTATGATCTCATCCCTAAAGAGCCATGCAAACTGTGGTTATGGCCTTCTCTAACTGACAAGATGAAGTGGGAGAACCAGTTTAGATCTTGGGTATACATATTAAAGTATCCCAGGGATTAAAAGGATCATTTTTTGGCCTTCTGAATTATAGTGTGCTATAGAAACTTCAAGCTAAAGGGTTGGAGTAAAATTATCATGACAGCATTATTTGAAATTTCCAATTTTAGTCAAAATTGTCTGAAAGGGCATAACTTCCTAATTGTATAGTGATAGATAAACCTGAAGAAAATACTTCATTTCCTCCTCATTCTCAGAATAACCATGGAAAAAATGACAAAAGTATTTATCTACCTCTCAAGTGGGGGAAAATAACCCACAGTTCATGCAGAGTCTAATGAATGTTCAAGTCATTAAAGTGCACATACAAACACACACACACACGACTGAGGATTTGTGGTTAGTGCCTTGGCATTCTAAATTTAAAGCATGTTGACAGCTTTCAATGACTTGGCAAAGAGCCTTTTTGGGGGGAAAAAACTGACTTTAATCTTAGGAAAATGCCTTCTTAATGATTTTTTGTTTGTTTTTTCCCCAGCTATCCAGCAAGAGAAAGAGTGTGTTCAAACATCGTAAAATGAGGGTCTTCTCCCAAAAGTAAATTTCAACATTGCCTGAGTGTCTTAGTGTCTTGTTTTTTGTAAACCTTTGTGTTGTAGAGATTTTAGGCATTTTCTGATGTCTTCTCACCCATACTTCCTGGCTAAGAGGTCAAGGGTAACCAATGTTGCCTTATCTACATTTTTAAATTTTCCTTTGGTATATAAATTCCAGCTGGCAGGTGCTGTCAATAATCTCACCATTGATGACCTTGTACCCCCTATAGAATAAGCCACTTGTAACAGTCTACAATTGATGCCTCCATTGCTCCATAATCTTCATGAAGTGGCATGCTTTTGCAGCTTCTCACAGTTTATTTTCATTTCTAATGTAGCAATAAAATAATGCATATAATCACTATGTTAAGGCTCCTGTGGTTCATTCTTGGTGGTCATCTAAGGAAGTACATAAGTGTACACTTTTCAGAAGAAAAAAAAAAAGGGTGGGTGCAAGAAAGCTGCTCTAGCAGATTTGTCTCATGGAAATGGCACTATTTTGTCCACATCAGGTGGGTCCTGACTGGGGAATGCTAGGTGATTTTCCATAGGGTTGGAATAATAGAATTTGAGAACATTTGGGAGAAGAGGTCAAAAATAAAGAAATGAAAACACAGGGTCTGAAGTGATCTAAAGTGAATCAGGGCTGGAATTTTAGCTGAACTCTCTTGGTCTCTGGAAAGTGCTTTTCAACTTAACGGGATGGAACACCCAAGGCCGGGGTTGGATAGGGAAGGAAGCCCCTGGGCTTCTTCTGCTCTGAGATCTTCGGGACCACTTCCCTGGACTTGTTCGGGCTCAGGAATTCCCCAGAAGAAGCCTCAGAGGAAGGCTCAGCCATGTTGGAGGCAGCTTCCCCACAGCCTGTGAGGAAGGCAATGATGACTGCTGAGGGGAGCTGCTACCCTTTCTATTGTTGCTGCATTCCCTGCCCTCATGGGCCTCTCACTATCTGGGTAAAATGTGATCTGGGAGCCTGTCACTAAGTCATGCCCTGTTACATGTGATTTGATAGGCTCCTACTTGACAACATATTCCCCAATCAGAGTAGGAATACATTGACCTCTAAACTTCCTATGACTGCCATCAGAAAATCTTTGAAAGTTGCTATATAGAGCAAAAGGTCATCTGACAATGTTAGTTAATTGATGCTCCTACAGGAGAACTTTGAAAAGATTTCACCAAAAGCACCTAAATTGTAGAAATTTCCATTTTGGCTCCTTGAGAGAGTCTTACTTCCCTAAACCAAATCCACATGCCATCTGAATGATTCTGCACCACAAATGGGCCATTTAACTTCCAATAAATAATCTACCATTGTCCTGAGCTAAGCCACCCTGGCTTGAGCAGGAATTCTCTGACATGGCCAACAGAGTGCTCCTGGAAATCAAGGAGCCTTGCTGACTAACCAACATCTCCAGTTCTGATAAAAAACCTCAGTGACGCAGTAAAAGGAGAAATAGCAAAAACACAGTGTCCAAAGCAGAACATAAACAGAAATGGGGATACTTATAAAAAAAGTTTTAAAATCCTTAAACCTCTACCAAGTTTAAAATTGTTTTCTTAATACGTAGAACCTAAAAATATTTCAAATGCTAGAACTGATGAATACATATAAGGACTATTGGGTGAAATATATATAATAACCTAATTGTCTAAGAAACTTCCTTAGGGAGAGAAAATATCAATAATATGAGAAATATTTTAAAATAAAAGCACAATATTTTTAATAATCTTTACAATACATGCAAAGATACTTTTACATGTGTAAATGTAAAACAGTATAGAAATTGAACCAAACAGATTATAGAACAAAACAAATTGTAAAATTGAAACAAACAAGGACTTAAGCATAACCAAGTGAATAAATGGAGGTCACCAAGAGGCTAAAGTCCCAAATAGCCAGGCATACAATAGTGTATATATTCAAACCTTCAAGGAACAGGTACCTCCTTCTGCTTATAAAACAGTTGCTGATAATGAAGGCAAAACACTTTTCATTTCAAGGAAATATAATATGATGATAAAACCTAATGAAGAAAGCATACTACACAGATTTCCGAGCCCTCTCATTTCTAAATAAGGATATAAATATCCTACTTAAATATTATTAAATAAGTCTGGTTGCATATTACAGAAAAGACTAGAGGAAACAGCTTTAGTGTTGTAACAAATTACAAACATCTAGCTGAAGAGGATATTATTTATAAAACAAATATCCCATACAAACATTTTTCAATATGACCTCTATTGTGGAATTCATTTAAATAAGTAACTGAAGACCCAAACTCAGTGCAGAAATAGCTAAATAAAAAAGTTCATGAAACGATATTTTTGTTCAAGCTTTTTAGAAACTGGAGTAACTAGCCTAACTTGTTCAGATTCATCTGTATCTATTCTTTTCTGGTCTATACTGTTTGGTTTTTAAAAAATGACCTGAAAAATGTATCACTGGATGATGGAAGTGTTCAAGTAGAGCAGCCTAAGCCCCATATTTCCCTGCCTCAACCAATGAAGGACCTGCAGACCCTGAGCCATAGCAATTGGCTTAATGTGGTAACAGGTGACTCGGGGTGAGCCAATAAATACCTTCCTGGGTATTCATTCCTGGAGACTGAGGAGGAAATTGGTGTAATATTTTTTGAAATTGCAGTTGACTTCAATATTATTTAATACTAATTTCAGGTGTACAGCATAGTGGTCAGACAATTATATAATTTGTAAAGTGATCTCCCTGATAATTCTAGTACCCACCTGGCACCATATAGTTACTACAATATTATTGACTATATTCCTTATGCTGTACTTTACATCCCTGTGACCACCTTGTAACTACCAATTTGTACTTCTTAATCCCTTCACAGTTTCACCCAGTCCTTAACCCCCCTCCCATCTAGTAACCCTCAGTTTGCTCTCTGTATCTATGAGTCTGTTTTGTTTGTTCATTTATGTTGTTCTTTAGATTCCACATATAAGTGAAATCATATGGTATTTGTGTTTCTCTGACTGACTTATTTCACTTAGCGTAAATACCATCTAGGTCTACTCATATTGTTGCAAATGGTAAGATTTCATTCTTTCTTATGGTTAATAGTCCATTGTTTATATGTACCACTTCTTTATTAAATTCTCTCTTGATGGGCACTTGGGTTGCTTCCATATCTTGGCTATTGTAAGTAACACTGCAATGAACATAGGGGTGTATATATCTTTCTAAATTAGTTTTGGATTTCTTCAGATACATACCCAGAAGTAGAATTGCTGGGTCATAAGGTAGTTCTATTTTTTTATTTTTTAATTTTTCAGGGAACCACCATACTGCTTTCCATAGTGGCTGTTATCAATTTGCAATTGGTGTGGTATATTGTGTGTGTGTGTTGTTTTCTTAGGAACATAAATCTCAATCCCTGCTAATAGTGAGTTTATTGTGGGGAAAAATCTTTTTCCAGTTAAACAAGCAAGTCAATATAGTGACTGGAAGAGTAGTCCTACATTATATATTTAAGAAATGCTGAGTAAAGCTACTCTAGGTAATCAGTTGCTTTCCCTACCTCCTATCTGTATAGAGTACTTCTTAGCAGCTACATATCTTTCACCTGCCACCATATGCCTCTCATCTGTTCTGACTCAATTTAACACTTACATTGCTCAGGATGGAATCATTGTGTTAATGAAAAGAATGGTTACCAGATGAAACTGGACAATGGGAGTTATTATCCAACGTCAGCTCATGTGACAACGTTTATTCTTTCCTTTAGGCCAGGGGTGGGGAACCTTTTCTCTGCCAAGGGCCATTTGAATATTTATAACATCATTCATAGGCCATAAAAAAATATCAACTTAAAAATTAGCTATGAAAAAAGCTCCTATATTTATTGAATTTTGAGTCCTGCCGGCAGTTGCTTAGGCAGAGCCAGACCAAATGAGACTTGAAATGAGACTAATTTTGTGCTGTATTAGTGTGTAAATGCAGATGTTGATGAATCTATCATGGATGTAGAGTATCTCAAATTTGCAGATGGTAATGTTAAAAGGAGAGCAAATGTGTTGGATGACGGAATCAGGATGCAAAGAGATCTCATCCTGAGCAAACTTGAGCACACCAGTAATCAGAATGGTTCCCCAAGCATTGTCTTATTTCACTTAGCATAGTACTCTCCAGGACCCTCCATGCTGTCCCAAAGGGTAAGAGATGCTTCTTTTTTAAAGGTGCTTACTATTCCATGGTGTAAATGTCCCACAACTTATTAATCCACTTATCTACTGATGGGTACTTGGGCTGTTTCCAGATCTTAGCTATTGTAAATTGTGCTGCTATGAACATGGGTGTGCATATATTTTTTCTGATTGGTTTTTCAGGTTTCTTAGGATATATTCCTAGAAGTGAGATCACTGGGTCAACTGGCAGTTCCATATTTAATTTTTTGAGTATTATATTTAATAATGTTTTCCATAGTGACTGCACTGGTCTGCATTCTCAACTAGCAGTGTACTAGGGTTCCCTTTTCTCCACATCCTCACCAGCACTTGTCAGTTGTTGATTTGTTGGTGGTAGCCATTCGGACAGGTACGAGGTGATAACTCATTGCGGTTTTAATTTGCATCTCTCTGATGATTAGTGACTTTGAGCATTTTTTTGTATGTCANCATATTTAATTTTTTGAGTATTATATTTAATAATGTTTTCCATAGTGACTGCACTGGTCTGCATTCTCAACTAGCAGTGTACTAGGGTTCCCTTTTCTCCACATCCTCACCAGCACTTGTCAGTTGTTGATTTGTTGGTGGTAGCCATTCGGACAGGTACGAGGTGATAACTCATTGCGGTTTTAATTTGCATCTCTCTGATGATTAGTGACTTTGAGCATTTTTTTGTATGTCACTTGGCCATCTGTATGTCCTCTTTGGAGAAGTGTTTATTTAGGTCCTTTGCCCATTTTTTAAATTGAATTGTTTGTCTTCCTTTGTTAAGTTGTATGAGTTCCTTATAAATTTTGATTATTAACCCTTTGTCAGATGTATCATTAGCAAATATGTCCTCCCATACAGTGGACTTCCAGTCCATTTTGATGCTGGTTTCTTTTGATGTGCAGAAGCTTTTTATTTTAATGTAGTCCCATTTGTTTATTTTCTGCTTCGTTTTTCTTACCTTAGGAGATATATAGGCAAACATATTGCTCCAAGAGATGTCTGAGATTTTGCTATCTATGGTTTCTTCTAGGATTTTTATGGTTTCACAAATTACATTTAAATCTTTTATCCATTTTTAGTTTATTCTTGTGTATGGTGTAAGTTGGTGGTCTAGTTTTGTTTTTTTGCATGTATCTGTCCAGT